GTCGCCTGGTGCTGGAGCGGACGAGGGGACCCTGCCCAGTCCAGCTGAGTCGCCACCCCTGCAGTTGCAGCAGCCGCAGCAGCCGCCGCAGTCGCAGCCTTCGCAGCAGCCGCAGCAGCCGTCGCAGACGCGGCAGACGAGTGTCCTTGTCACAGGATCGAATGTGTCGAGGAAAGGTTGCACTATCGATCAGTACAAGGCGCTTTTATACTTCCAGAGTACATCAAGTAACCAGGTTTATCCTATCTAAAGGAATAGACCCTTCTAGAAAATAGAATCACCCTGCGTATAGCCACGCGAGGCTATTGGCTTTAAGAGATTACGACAGGATTACGCTAGATAGCGTGTCTAGAACATTCCATGCTTGGTCGGTGATATAATTAGAATAAGGGAAGAAACCAAAGGATAATGGAAAATGGGGAATATGAGGCAAAAGGAGATGAGATAAAAAGAGGAATGAAATGAAGATGAAATATGGAAAAGGCCAAGTGGTGTAACGGAGTCGTACTCTCACACTTCCCCCCCTCAAAGCTGGGTGGTAGAAGTAACACCCTCCTTGACAAGGTAGTCATGCAGAGGACGACGGGCGTTACCCATGTCGGTCTCAGAGACCCAGCTGTCCTCAGAAGGATCATAACCCTTCCAACGAATAAGAAGCTCCACGGTGCCATTCCGACGACGGCGGTGTGCAAGCACGGACTCGACCTCGTACTCGGGTTCATTTTGGACGAGGACGGGTGGCGGCGGCGGCGGTTGGCGTCTGACGAAGATCGTATTAGGATCTCGATAGGGCTTCTGAAGTTGGACATGGAAGGCGTTGTGAATCTTCCAGGTAGCTGGTAGGCGTAAGCGGAAGGTAACAGGAGTGACCTGTGCTTCAACGAGAAAAGGCCCGCAGAAGCGAGGTCGAAGTTTAGATGGGAGGTGGCTGATGTCCAGGTTGCGGGTGTCGAGAAGCACCTGGTCTCCCACGGAAATGGTGTGGTCGTTGCGATGGCGATCGGCCTGGCGCTTCTGTTGCTGTTGAATGTCAAGGAGGCGCTTATGGGTCCGATCCCAAAGCTGATGCATGGTTGTGATGAATCATGTGCAGGTTGGACTGTAGCTGATGTTGTCGGTTTCTGTGGTGTGAGTGGGTGGCGTCCGTAGCAGAGGAAGAACGGCGTCTGTCCCGTAGCGGCATGTGTAGCGTTGTTGTAAGCAAACTCCAGGACGGGCAGGTGCAAGTCCCATTTGGAGATGTCGTCCTTGCAGGCTGCTCGGAGGAGTTGCTCAACAATTTGGTTGAGGCGCTCGGTCTGTCCGTCTGTCTGCGGATGGTATGCGGATGACATGGCGAGTTTGGTGCCGAGCAGAGACATAAGTTCCTTCCAGAACTTGCTAGTGAACTTGGGGTCTCGGTCGGAGATGAGTGTAGTTGGGATGCCATGCTGTGAGATGATGTGACGAACGAAGAGCTGTGCTGTCTCCTCGGTGCGTGCCGTCGTGTGTGTCGGGATGAAGTGTCCCATTTTGGAGAACTTGTCAATGACGACAAGGATGGCGTCATGACCGCTGGAGGTAGGTGGTAACCCGGTAATGAAGTCCAGGCTAACCACTTGCCATGGTTGTTCTGGGACAGGAAGAGGCTGCAGTAGTCCCGCCTTTTTCTGCTTGCTGCTCTTCATCCGCTGACATGTATCACACGAGGTGACGAATTTCTGGACGTCGTCTGCCATATGGGGCCAGTAGTAGTGTTTGGCGATACCGGTGAGCGTCTTGTTGCTACCGAAGTGTCCGGCGTACAGGACGTCGTGGTATTCTTCGAGTAGTAACTGGCGCAAAGGAGGGTAATTGGGTACCCAGATTTTTGTGATCCCTTCCGGTACGCGATGTCACTGTCCCACTGTAGCAGATGTCGCTTTTCTGCCAAGGGAATTTCGGGGTCGATGGCGTACCCGTGGGTGAAGAGTCCCTTGAGTAGTGGATTCATCCCTTCGACCTGAATCGCGGCAACGTGTGCAGGCCGGCTGAGAGCGTCTGCTTTGTTCTTGTGGCCGGGCTTGTACATGATGTCGTAGTGGAAGTGTGTCTCGAGGAAGTCGATCCACCGGACCTGCCGCCTGGAAAGGTTGGGTTGTGTCTTCAAATATTTCAGGCTGCAGTGGTCGGTGTAGACGGTTGTTCTTCGTCCTTCGAGATAGCATCTCCACGCTTTGAAGGCGATGATGATAGCAAGAGCCTCTTTGTCGTGTATCGGGTAGTTGAGTTCTGCCCCGTGCAGTTTCTTGCTGAGGTAGGCAATGGGTTGCAGTCCATTCCCTTGGTCTTGCATCAAGACTGCACCCACGGCTTGATCACTGGCGTCTGCTTCGATGACGTAGTCACGTTCGGGATCTGGCAAGATGAGTACCGGTGCGGATGTCAGTGCTTGTTTCTGTTAGGATTAAGGACGGAGTCTAGGTGAACTTAGGAGCTAGAATTACTCAAAATATAAATCCGAAATTCTGGACAGAAAAGTCGTCTTCACAAGAAACGACGTCGACAAACAACTAGCCGTTGGAATGTCGCGAAACTTGGATATGTTGTAGCTCTTAATCTCAGCTACCGTTCCCAATTTGAATCATGTTGATTGATAAAGTATTCGCGACGCTATGGCTTTCGACGCACTAGGGGGTAAGCTGTAGGAGGAGAACTTAACTCAATCTCAAAGGTTCAATCAAAGTTCAAGAATCTCACAAGGAATTAGAGGAGCAAGAGAAAGGTTGGGATAGAAGAGAGGGATGAGAGGGAAGGTCCCAAGAGAGTCCCCAACCAAGGAAACCCCATAAGCACAAAGATTCCCTCCCTATAGGAACCCCAACTTTGACATTTGTCCCTTCCCAACCAATCCATCCAAGTTGGCCACCCTTGCCAACCTAGCTTGGTTGTTCCCAACCAATTTGCAGCTGTTACAGTAGAGTGACGAATTTCCCCAACCCCAAAGGTCCCAACTCCATATAAAGTCACCCCACAACTTCACTTTGTAACCGCCGCAATTGTAACGCAAGCTCATGAACTTTGAATCTTCATAGCTTTCGCGTTCTTGCTCCGATTGACGCGATTCTTGTTGCGTCGGAAAGATCTTCTCAAGATCTATCATCACAAATACCTGCTCAGACAGAATAACACAAAACACATTCCCAAACTCCAGAACACACCACACACAAATTCTTTCACACACAGTCAAACCATACGTGCGAATTGAAACAAGGGATGAGAGGCAGACAGAATGTGATAGCATATGATGACATCACACAACAATCTCCCCCTCTGGCTGCCAACCATCATCGACCATACCACATCTCAAGCATGCATACTCAATGCACACTCATCCCAGCAAGCTTCATGCCCTTCCAATGATCCGCCTCCGCAAGACGCTTAGTGAAAATATCTGCTGCCTGCTGATGGGTCTTCACTATCTCCAGCCGCACCTCCTTATCAAGGATTCTCCTCACCCAATGCCACTTAGGCCTTATGTGTTTTGTCAGCCCATGCAGACAAGCATTCTTGGCGAGCTTCACAGCGGACTCATTGTCACAAAACACAACTGTCGGCTTCTCCTGACCAACTCCCAACTCCTCCAACAAACGCCTTAGCCACACTACTTCCTTGGCCCCATGGTGTAAGGCCATGTACTCAGTCTCACATGAGGACAATCCCACCTCATTCTGCTTCTTGCTGCGCCAGCTCACAGCACCACCTCCTAGCAAGCACACATAACCCCCAATGCTGGTGCCATCCGCTTTCACTGAGTTGAAGCTAGCGTCAGTATAGCAACTCAAGAGCATCTCTCCACTCTTCACATCTGCAGCACCTCTCTGCAACCGCTGCCTCACTCCACTGTACTCCAATCCCACTGATGCCGTAGCGCTCACATAGCGGACCAACCTCTTGGCCGCTTCCAGCTGCTCATGACTAGGGCGTGAGACCACACTAGCCAATCGTGATGTAGCAAATGCAATGTCAGGCCGTGTATGATTTGCAGCATAATTCAGCGACCCAACCATCGAATGAAACAGCTTCCTGTCACTATCACCCACTACCTCCTCATCAGCACATGGCTCCACAGTAAACCCTGAAGGTAGTGGTGTTGCTGGCTTTCCCCCATCTTGCAGCCCATACTTCTCAGCCAGCCCCTCACAGTACTTCCTCTGGTGCAACCTCAGCACACCCTTTTCCACATCTCTCTCCACGTGCATCCCCAAGTAGTACTTCACCTCACCCATCTTGGAGCACTTGAACTGCATCTCCAGCATCTGCTCTGCGCTGTCCAGCAAAGCAGTGGATGCAGAAAAGAGAAGGATATCATCCACATACACCAAGAGCATGAGGATTTCATCCTTCTCCTGCAGCAGGAACAGGCTGGGGTCACACTCACTCTTCTTGAAACCCCCAGCCAACAGCGCCTCCTCCAACTTGTGATACCATGCACGAGGCGCCTGCTTAAGGCCATAGATGGCCTTCTTCAGCCTGCAGACCCTGCCGCTCCCGTCATCCAGCCCCTCTGGCTGTTTCATGTACACCTCCTCCAGAATGATCCCATTCAGAAAGGCAGTCACAATGTCCATCTGCCGTATCTTCCATCCCAGGAGTGCAGCTATCGCCAACAGCACCCTCAGTGTTGTTCCTTTCCCCACAGGAGCAAACACCTCATCATAGTCCTTCCCCTTTGTCTGCTGAAACCCCCGTGCCACAAGCCTAGACTTGTAGCGGGTCAGCTCCCCTTCAGGTCCATACTTGTGCCTGTAGATCATCTTGGAAGTGATTGCCTTCTTTCCAGGAGGCAAGTCACACAGGTCCCATGTCTCGTTCTCAATTAGGGACCCGAACTCCTCATCCTCACTCGCCTTCCACTTCTCCCCATTTGGTCCATTCAAGGCCTCTTCTCGAGTCTTGGGCTCAGGGATTGGTGCCCAGTAGCAGTGAGCGATCTCATCTTCCTCAATCTGCTCAACCACACTCCCAGCCTGCACCACATTTGGCTTGCCTCTTCCCCCATAGGTCAGCCTCACAGGAGGGCGCACATCCCTCCTAGGTCGCTCAGGCGGGTGTGGAACTCGAGGTGGAGACTCATGCTGCTGCTGCTGCTGCTGCTCTACTTCAGCTGCTCCCCTTCCTCAGTCACCCCAGACATCTCCTCCTCTGACACTGCAACCTCCACCTGTCTTGAAGGCTGCTGCACCTCATCTGCCTCCACAATGAGCGGTGTAGATGGAAGCTTCTGTTGCTGCTGCTTCCATTCCTTGTAGTACAGGGACTCAAGAAACTTCACATCCCTTGACACTGTCAACTTCTGGGTGGTCAAGTCCCATAGCAGCCACCCCTTGTGATCCTTTGCAATCCCCAAGTGCACACCCCATCTTCCAGAAGCCTCCAACTTCCCTCTTTTCTCCTTAGGCACATGAAACACTACCATGCACCCAAATGCCCTCAGCATATTCACAGCTGGAGCACTCCCATACCACTTGGTATATGGGATCCACTCCTTATCCCCAACTGTAGCCAGCACTCTATTCTTCACAAGGGCGACCTGCCTCAGTGCAGACACCCAAAACGGATCAGGTAGCCCTGCACGCCCAAGGAGAGTGCGTGCCCCCTCCTGCAGGGTCCTGTTGAACCTCTCAGCCACGCCATTCTGCTGCGGGTTGTAGGGCACTGTCAGTTGATGCTGGATCCCCTTCCTCTTCAACTCCCCCTCAAAATCAGCTCCAATGAACTCCCCACCATTGTCACTGCGGATCACCTTCACCTTGTGTCCACATTCCCTCTGAGCTCTCGGCATCCACTCCTTAAGGACAGCCGCTGCCACCTCCCCCTTGCTCTTCAAAGGGTAAACCCACACTGCCCGAGTGTGGTCATCCACAATTGTCAAGAAATAGCGGCTGCCTGAGAGGGAAGGGGCTCTTGTGGGCCCCACCACATCCATGTGCACAAGTGCAAGTGGGGTCTTGGCTGGTCCTGTAGTGCTGTTGAAGGGGAACTTGGAGAACTTGGTCTCCAAGCATGTAGGGCAGCTCCCAATCTCCTTCAATCCCCCCTTACCTCCAATCCTTTCAGGCTCCCATCCTTCACCAACTTCTGCAGCATAGGGAAGTTCACATGACGCAGCCTCTCATGCCATGTCTCCCAATCGGCCTCTCCACTCCTTGATGAAGCCTTAGCCCATGCCGCACTCGCATCCACACCAGCAAGCACCTCACCATGTGTCTGCTGCTGCTGCACTTTCTTGACTGCTTCCAGGACCCCATCAGTTGGTGCAGTTGCATCTCCTCCTGCTGTTGCCTTTGCCGCTGCTGTCGTTGCTGCTGTTGGAGTCTTCCCATTCCATGGGATGATGGGCAGCTGCCACAGGTCCTTGATGCAGCTGGTCTCCTCTTCCAGACTCCACAGCACCTTCTTCCCAAGCTTAGCACGGCAGCTGGTTGGTCCAAAGGTCACTTCGGCCTTGCTCTTCTGCAGTCGTCGCACAGAGAGAAGGTTAGCAGACAAGCCTTCAACCAGCAGAACATTCCCAAGCCCCACAAGCTCCCCATTAGCTCCCTTAACCTTGGCATTCCCAACACCAATGACAGGGAGCAAAGCACCTGATGCTGCTGCCACATACTTGATCTTCCCAGGGGGTTTTACCTCATCAAGCAAATCTGCCCGTGGAGTCATGTGACTGGTGCAACCCGAATCAATCACCCAGTGCGTGAGAGGGTGCATCACAACCTTTCCCACAGATCCCACATCACCCTCATGCCCATGCACATCCTCAACCATGAGATACATCCCAGGATAGGCGTTACCTTGTGCACCTTCACCTTGTGCACCTGAGCCTTGCACAGCGCCACCTTGTGCGCGTTCACCACTTGGCGGCTTCATGCCTGGAGGTGACCATCCCTCCGGCCTGCTGAAGCACTTGAACCAAGGATGCCCGACCTTCTTGCAGTACCAGCAGGTGCCCTCCATTCTGGTACTCCCCCTGCCACTGGAGCTCCCATGCCCCTCATTATAGTCACCTCGGCCTCTACCTCTGCCAAAGCTTCTCCCACGGCCTCGGCCTCTCCAACCCCCTCTTCCTCTGCTGCGCCCTGCAGCTCCATACCCCTCAGCAGTCTTAGTGGCAGCACCGCCTCCCACATGGCGTCTGCGGAAGTCCTCCTGCAGAATCTGCTGCCTTAGCCACTCAGGTGTCCATTGATCTTGCTGAGAGTTGAGGGTGGGGATGAGGTTGTCCCAAGAGTTGTCCAACACCGAGATGATCTTGGTGCACTGCTGCAGCTGAGATACACTGCTGCCCGCTGCTGCCATCCTTGCATAGGTGTCCTTGATCTTGTCAAGGACCGGCTTCACATCGTCCCCTGGTCGCATGGAGATGGCAGCAAGTTCCTTCTCGAGCACGATCACCATCAGGAGAGTGTTGGGCTGAACCACATCACGTAGTAGTTTCCACGCCCTTGGACCCGAATCATCCGCTTCCACAAGATCCTTGATGTGCTCGAACATCTCCTTGTTGACCGATTGAAGAATGAGGTCGAAAAGCACCGCGCTTTTCTCAATCCACCGTTCACGTGCTTCGCCTTCTTCCGGCATCTTCTCTTCCCCAACAGCAATCTTCAGGAGCTTGTAGCGTTTGAAGGCACTCCTCATCCGTCCGCTCCATTCCTCATAGTTGGAGCCATCCAAAGCTTCAACTTTTGATGGCGGCGGCTCACTTGTCTTCTCAGCTACAGCTCCTCTTCCATTAGCATCTCCTCCTCTCTCATTCATCTTCTCCTTGAGAAATGACGAATTTCAGCCCCCCTTTGCTGTCCACACTCAGCTCCCTCGATATTTTCACAAGTGTCGGCGTCCACGAAATTTCGGCAGAGTTTCCCTTAGCGGAAGACACATCCAACCTTTAGAACACCACTTAGGCACACCCACAGGCCATGGTGGGTCTAGAAGGGTCTTCACACTTCTGTAGACTCCTCTCAACGTCCTTAATACAGCTCTGATACCACTTGTTAGGATTAAGGACGGAGTCTAGGTGAACTTAGGAGCTAGAATTACTCAAAATATAAATCCGAAATTCTGGACAGAAAAGTCGTCTTCACAAGAAACGACGTCGACAAACAACTAGCCGTTGGAATGTCGCGAAACTTGGATATGTTGTAGCTCTTAATCTCAGCTACCGTTCCCAATTTGAATCATGTTGATTGATAAAGTATTCGCGACGCTATGGCTTTCGACGCACTAGGGGGTAAGCTGTAGGAGGAGAACTTAACTCAATCTCAAAGGTTCAATCAAAGTTCAAGAATCTCACAAGGAATTAGAGGAGCAAGAGAAAGGTTGGGATAGAAGAGAGGGATGAGAGGGAAGGTCCCAAGAGAGTCCCCAACCAAGGAAACCCCATAAGCACAAAGATTCCCTCCCTATAGGAACCCCAACTTTGACATTTGTCCCTTCCCAACCAATCCATCCAAGTTGGCCACCCTTGCCAACCTAGCTTGGTTGTTCCCAACCAATTTGCAGCTGTTACAGTAGAGTGACGAATTTCCCCAACCCCAAAGGTCCCAACTCCATATAAAGTCACCCCACAACTTCACTTTGTAACCGCCGCAATTGTAACGCAAGCTCATGAACTTTGAATCTTCATAGCTTTCGCGTTCTTGCTCCGATTGACGCGATTCTTGTTGCGTCGGAAAGATCTTCTCAAGATCTATCATCACAAATACCTGCTCAGACAGAATAACACAAAACACATTCCCAAACTCCAGAACACACCACACACAAATTCTTTCACACACAGTCAAACCATACGTGCGAATTGAAACAAGGGATGAGAGGCAGACAGAATGTGATAGCATATGATGACATCACACAACAGTTTCAGTTGCTCCACGGCTTCCTGGTGCTTCGTCTCCCATTTGTAGGGCGTGTTCTTCTTCAGCAGATTCGTGAGTGGTGTCGCGAGTTTCGCATACTGTGGCACGAACCTGTTGTAGTAATTAGCGAAGCCTAGGAACTGCTGCAACTCCTTCACGTTCTCGGGTGTCTTCCACGTACGTACGGCTTCGACTTTCTTGGGGTCGACGTGAACTCCTTGAGCGCTCACCAAGTGTCCTAGAAATTGGACTTTCTCCAGGGCGAATTCGCTCTTGGACAGTTTGACATAGAATCGTTCTCGTCGAAGAATTTCGAAGACGCGTCGCAGGTGTTCGACGTGCTGCTTCATGTCGCGCGAGTAGATGAGTATGTCGTCCAGGTACACCACCACGCATTCGTCCAGAAGTGGTCGTAGAATGTGGTTCATTTCGGCTTGGAACGTTGCCGGCGCGTTGGTGAGTCCGAACGGCATGACCAAATACTCGTACGATCCGTACCGAGTTCGAAAAGCAGTTTTGTGGATAGAGTTGTCCGCCATCCGTATCTGCCAGTATCCGGACCGCAGATCCAGTTTGGAAAATACCGTAGCTCCCCGAAGCTGGTCAAGCAGGTCATCGATTCGTGGTATCGGATATTTATTCTTGATGGTCTGCTTGTTAAGAGCTCGGTAGTCGATGCACATGCGCAGGCTTCCGTCCGGTTTCGGTGTGAAGAGTACTGGGGCACCGTATGGCGAAGTAGATGGTCGGATGAGTCCTTTGGCTAGGAGATACTCGATCTGCTTCTTCATGTCGGTCAGCTCCGTAGGGCTGAGCCGGTATGGTGCTCGGAAGGTCGGCTTCGAACCCGGTTCCTCCACGATCTCGTGTTGATGCGTTCGGTATGGCGGTAGCTCGTTCGGAAGATCGTCAGGAAGAATGTCTTGGAACTCCTTCAGTAATTCCTTGATTTTTCCTGGAGTTTCCGAGGCTTTCTCTCCGTCATTCTCCACCTCTGTTGCTATCGCCAGGAACCCGGTGTCGGTCCGCTTCACATCCTTCTCGAATCGTGCGAGTGTCTCCACTGGGATATCTCCTGTATCGTCCCAGTTGGGTAGCTGTACTCTCCGTCCATTGTTGTAGATGCTTGCGGTGCGGTTCACCCAGTTGATCTCGGGGTTGAATTTTTTCAGGAAGTCTCGCCCGAAGATCAAGTCAAGCCCTTTGATGTTGGTGATGGGGAGTGCAGGTCTCCAGCGCAGTGGTCCGATTTGTAGATGTAGCACTGCTTCGCCGTGTACTGGTAACTTGCTGCCGTCCACCATCGTTGCAGAGAATCCTGAAGGCTTGTACTCTTCCCGGAGTCGGTCGATCATTGCCTTGTCGCAGACTGTGTGTGACGCTCCGCTGTCCACGAGTGCTTGGAGGCGTCGTCCTTTGCAGATGACCTCGAGCACGAGGGGCAGTCGTTGCTCGGAGTACCCAAAGATAGTTTCATTGATTGGGTCATAGGGTACATCCCAATATTCCGTACACACCTTTGTGTTGCTGTCTACTCCTGAGCTGGCAGCTGGCCGAGGCTGCTTGGAGAACGGCTCTTCTCCAGGGCCCGGAGTTTCTTTGACGACTGTGCGCGTCACTGATGCCGAAGAACTGGATGCATCCGTAGAAGGAGTTCGGGGTTTGTGCAGCTTCTTGTAGACCCCCAGCTTCCTCTTGAGCTGCTTCAGCTCCACCGACGTCTTCCCTGGGGAGCGGGTAGTCGTTGTGGGCTGGTGTCGGGAGAGGACGTTGACTCCGTGGAAAGGTCGGCTTCTTTCCACACTCCTTAACTTGGTCCCCAAGTTGTCCGGTACCGGTATAATCTCCACAGCTGTCTGCTTCTTTTGGAGTCCCTCCCGAATTTTCTCCAAGGCTCTAGCCCCTCGAACATCATAAGTTTTCATTAAAGCATCTTTATAAGATAACTTTAACGAATTCTTATAATTTCTTGGGTCTTCAAGGAGTTTCCCTGTCTCGGCAGAGTCTTTTTTCGCGGAGTCGTATTTTTCCTCGGCGATTTTCCCTGGCGAAGACTGGTCGTGGGGTGGAGATTTTCCCCCATCATTTCCTCCTTCTCGCGTCGAATCAGCTTCGTCGAAGTTGATTTTTCCGGAATCCCGCGGCCGCTTTCGGATCTTTTTATTTTCGCCAGCTAGATCCGCAATCACTGGCGACTCCCGTTTTTTGTATTCTGATTGGCCGAAAGATTTCCGCCACTGTTGCGTGCCCGATACTCTGCGCGTGCGGCCTTCATTTTGTTGCAGTCGAAGATTCGGTGGCCCGGCACCCCGCAAAAATCACACGTGTAGTTGGTGTTTTTCGGACGTGGCCGCCCCTCGAATCTGTCGACTTCCATCGGGTCGGCGAACGTGGGGTGAGCCGAGCGGTCGCCCTGTCGCGTACTGCCGACGTGCGTCCGTCGTGTTCCGGCGTTGACCATGTCGAAGCGCTCCGCTGCCGAAACGACGTCACTGTAGCTCGCGTAGTTTGACGCTGCGACTTGTCGTTTGACTTCGGTCTTCAGCCCGGCGAGGTACGATTGTACTTTTTCCCCTTCGGTCAGGTCGGGAATGCGGTTATAAAATTCCTCCATCTGCTGCGTGTACTGTGCTACACTCCCGAACTGTCGGTGTCGATGAATTTTTTCCCGGGCAAGGAAACTCGAATTTATCGGTTCGAAGCGTTTCAGCAGGTCGGCGCGGAACTGCTGCCACGTGGCTTCACCGTGGATGAAAGTACTGTTGCCGCCAATCCACTCGAGTGCCGGCCCTCGCATCAGTGTCGCCGCGAGTCG